TAAGCCATTCTTAAAGTTACCCCTAAATAAAAACTTGTCGAGGGTTGGTCATTCCAACTGATTCCCCATTTGGATTTTCGATTTTAAATCAGAATTTAAAGCAACCATTGGTGCTCTTAAGTAATTCACCCAAGAAAAGTGTCAAACTAAAATGCTTGACAAGTCATAATAACGCTCCGGCGGAAGAAGAGTGCACTGTTTTGGCGGCAAAGGCGCAAATGGAGGGCGGAAATGGAACCAACGGTCACGATCTCCCCGCATTTAAGCTTCTTCTTTCATGTCCCTCTGGCCTCTCTCCATCTCAGGTAAGCTCTACTTATTAATATAAAGTATACTGTAATTTTGTGTATTGGGCAAAATTTGATTTATTGCTTAATAACTTATTGCAATTTCATTCCTTTTTGTAATAAATGTCAGGTGTCTGTAGTTTTTGATCAATCATATGATCGGATTCCTCATCCGGATATCAGTTTGGAAAATTCCATTTCCGAGGTTAAATTTGATTCTTGAGTTCACTTTTCCCTCTCAACTGTGGAATATTGTATCAGTTTTATGTGTTTTTGATTGAGATGATTGATTTGGTCAGATATGGGATGGGAGAATTCAACAAAATCCTTCTCTCTTCAATGGACTAAAGTTTAGGGTAAGGATACTCTTTTAAAACACTATGTTAATTCATTCATTGCTTTTGTGCAATGTGAGTCTGGTCGTCAGTCCCGGAATTCTTTGCAGCTCCAACTTTTTTCCGGTAAGCAAGGCATAATTATGAAATGGGTATGTTTTGCATATACATAATGCAGTGTCTAATTGAGTGTGTACTGGTGTGTTTAAAATAAGAAAAACTTAAATTTGGTTATTCATTTTAACATGATAAAAAGAAAAAAAAGTAGACTTCGGGATTTGATTCCTTGATTCACTCATTAAAAAAATGTATTACATTGAGATATTTGGGTGAATGGCATTTCATATGTTTCAATGGTTAAATTATGTATTTTGTTATTTATACAATTGATAACTTGACAGTATGGAGGACACATCCTTAGTGGTGGCAATGATTCCTCTCAAGAGACTCATGTTTGCCTTCACCTTGGTCTGACAGATTATAGGTTCTCTCTCTTCTCTCTACTCACATGTTTAACTGTTACTATGTTTTGGTGCTCTATATTGCTTAGTTCCGAACAGTTCCTCTTGAGATTTTGGACAAAGTTGAACGATTTCTTATTGTATTGACTGGACTCATTGACTGGTGTTGGATATTCACTGCTGCATTTGCTATGTAACTATATCATTTCAAAACTTAAGTTCATATAAATGATACGCCACTGAAAGAACATATTTTCTTTATGTTGAAAATTGAAATATGAATCTGAGATATTGACGCAGGATGCAATAGGAGAATTATAAGAGAAGGGAGAAGGGGAGAGAAGAGAAAGGAGGGAGATAGAATGAGGGAGGTAGAAAGGGGAGTAGAGTTAGACAGACGGAAGGGAAGAGACGAGAGAATTGAGGCAAGAAAATATCAATTATTCATTCATTGTCGAAGGTTGTTCCAATTACATTGCATAGACCCCTTTATATAAGGTTTCCAAAACACTATTCTAAGTAAGGAAATACTATGAAAGGTAATAAACCAAACATTAATAATGTTTCCTAAAATACGCATTAAAATTGAAAACTAACTACAATAATATCCTTTCTGATTGTCCATCAGATATTCTATCAGTTGAAACTCTTGGAAATTCAGATTGGATTTCTTCATGTTTGTCCAGTGTTCTTCACACTTTTGGCTTGAAACCATCCGTTAATTTGTAATGACCCTGCATCCGTTAATTTGGTATGAAAGTTTCGTAAAATAATCACACGGTCACGAGAATGGACGGCATTTTTTTCTGCACGATTAAAAGGTTTTACTGCAAGAAATTTCGCTCTATACAACTCATGCACCACAAGAGCAATCATTCTGTTACGAGAAATCAATTAATAATGCAGATGTATAACAAAAAAACATAAGATAAGAGTACATGAAGTTTTATGTTAGTCAGTGTCAAAAAATTGATTTAAAACTCAAAAGCAGGTATTAAGAATTATGAATGTTACTAGTCAGAAGATATAATCTAATTAATGTTGTTTTCTCGCTGGGTCTTTGAGCCTTGCAGCATGATTTTTCTTGGACGACTATTCGCGCTGCTACTTTATCAAATTGAGTTCCACAAATAATTTACCACCACTCACCACATATCCACTGCAAAAAAAGTGAAAGGTATCAGAATAAAGAATTATATGTGGATGCATTATTTTCTTAACCTGGTTGTTTTGTGCTCAGGACTTTTGTTGGAACAAACTTGAATCCTTTGTGGGAAAGATTTCTTTTTCCTTCTGAAGGTAAATTTCTGAAGTCTACTTTTCTTTGCATCATGAACCAAATGTTGGTTAAAAAAAAAAGAAGAAGAAGAAGAAGAGATTGTGTCTGTTTTATTCCTCCTCCCACCCCTCCTCATACAGAAAAATAAAATGAAAAGAAAAGAAAGAAAAACTATCTTGGGCATAGTCAATGCAGAGAGATCTTCGAAGGGTTAATGCCAAAATCTGGCTAAATAAACTTGAAATGGTTGAAACCTTTGCTTCTATGCTTTTCAGATGCTGGAATAAAAACATAGAACGAATTATTTGGAAAGGAAAATAGTTCATAAATCAAATAGTTGGTGCTGTATATTTTAATAATATTATGTTTCTTTCCTTTTAATTACATTGTGAAGCAATTGTTCCCGCTTCCTTTTTCTATGTTCTGGATGGCAAATTCATATGAGCTATCCTGGCCAATGTTCTAAAAGGCGTAATGCGTTTGCGAGGTATCGAGGTCGAGAATCAAGAATCACAAGTTTAGACGTGTCAATGCGAAGAATAAGCGCCATGATGCGTTTCGTATTTTTAATATTATTTTAATTATTTTTAAGGTATTAAATATATTTTTATATAAAAAATAGATTTTTTAATATATCATTAAAAAAAAAATTTACCAAAAAAAGGGAGATTAGGCGGGATAATGCGCCGCCGCCTTTTAGAACAGAAACGCATTTTTCGCGCATACCCCGAATTCGACGCATTTTCCACCCGCATTGCGCCTAGGCGAGCGTAGGCGGCACATTTTCGCGCATTTTAGAACATGGATCCTGACAAGTAAATGACTGAAATGACAGAGATTGCTATTTCAATACTAAAAGCTTTGTTTGAATTTCCTGGTGATACACAGATTCATAACTGCTTAAATCTGGTATAAATGTATAATTGATCATATTGTTTTTTGAATTCATGTATTCGATTTGTTGATAGCCTGGAACTGTGTCACAAAAGGCTGTCCAAGAATCACAAATTTTTTATTTATCATATGTAGATGATTGTAGACGGTGTCAACACACATCTAGTCCGCTAGGAAATGGTGCAATTGTAGAGACGTCTGATAGAAAAATACTTGTGCTGCAAAGAAGTACTAATGTTGGTGAATTTCCGGGATCCTTTGTTTTCCCTGGTGGCCATCCAGAGGTAAATATTAATGGAGCACAAAATTTCTTAATTTTGTTCTTCTGGATCTTAATGAATGCATGCTCACTGGATTTGAACTCTCTCTTTTTTGTTGATAGCTCATCGCATAGTGCATATTTTCTACTTTAGACTTTAGAGTTCATGCAAAGGGAGTTAGGTGCAACACATCCATCTAGAGGCAGTTATATGCAGTCATTGAAATTCAGTTTTTTAGTCCATCCGTTCATGTTTGTATTTCTTGTTCTTTAGCTATTATCTGTTGCCAGTCCTTAATCAAGGTCTCCTTAAGCTGAATTCCATTTTCAATTATCCTCACTAACCTTACCTATCCTATGTTACATATTTTGGCAGCCCCAAGAAGTTGGAATAACATGCCATCTGCATGATGGAGAGTTGAACTGTCAGATGGTCAACAGAAAGGTTTCTGAAGAAATGTTTGATAGCATCATTCGTGAAGTAGTTGAAGAAATTGGAGTTCCTGCTGCTACCCTGGTAAGTGGCAATCTATTTGGCATTTGACTGCCTAAGTGTTTGGAGTTGGGGCTTAATCTGGCCGCATAAATCTCACAATTCCCACTACCTTGATTAATTCACTTTTGGGGCTCCTCATTTTACTCCACAAATTTTTATGACTCCATGTGTATTCCTTATCTTCTACCTCCAACTTTTCAGTTTTCAATATCAAATATTGATTGTTTCAATGCTATTTTGTAGCAGAGCTTAGTGTAACTGTCCTCTAAAATTGATTGAACAAAAGGAAAAAAATTATCAACGTACAGATTTTGGCCTTTGACTTCGTTATATGTCTGTGCAGACTTCTGCTAAACTTATAACCGGTGGATCACTGTATTGTTACCTAGGGTTTTATCTATCTAAAAAGTATTCTTATGTTTTCTTAAGGAAAATAAGATTAATTTTTGAAAATTTCCATAATAATGCAGGGAAAGCTTTTCTTTATTGGCATATCCCGCAGAGTGTTGAATGTTAGACCAACTGCTTTCTTCTCTATTAAATGCAGCCTTCAGTCGGAGGAGATTCAACAGCTTTATACTAATGCTCAAGATGGCTACGAGTCAACCAAGCTTTATGCTGTGACAATGGTCAGTTTAATGCATTTTTAATATGAGTTTATATAAACACTGCTCCTGATTCTTTGAAATGTCTCTTTCCTTTATACTGGAAAGCTCAAGGAAAAGAAAGACTCGAGCCAGCTTCACGACTGTTTAACGTTTCGTCTGATTGGTGTTATTATCAGATTGAATTGGAGGGCATGACATCTAAAATGCCTGGGTGTCACCAAGGAGGATTTGCACTGTATAAGTTGATGTTAGATGCTGTGGAGATACCCTGATGAGATTATGTCATATCTTCTGAATCAAGAGACATCACTCCTCAAAATTATACGAAAGTTCTGTTGCCGTATTTATGTTGGAAATATTGTTCTTACAATTGAAGATTTCCTGAAAATAATGTTGCATCTTGGTTATGCATCGTCACCCCCTACAAGTTGCATGCATAATTTTATCCTTAGGTTGATTTTTGTGCCCTCGTCTGTATTAGAATCCCTAACCTGCATAATGAGCTATACTTGGATCTCCAGAAAACAGTGTTTCCTATCCCCTGAGTATGAATAATTTGGTATTTTGTGCACTTTTTCGTGCTTACCAGATCCACAGGTCAAATTTAGTGGTTCAACTTTGTGTGCATAATTCTTGTGACACTTAATAATGAATGTTTCGTGTGAATGTATAGATCCAATCTCAAATAATATGAAGTGGCTGTCCTAAACATTCTTAACCAGACGTCACAACAGATAATTGTGAATTTTGCATTACTATCATTTTGTTCTTGAAGTCTTTCTGCAAAATTGTCATCTTTAAAAGGAGACGATGAGGATTTCAGTATTGCAACTAAATTGAATTGCAGTACTATTTTCTCAATGTGCTGTACTTTTTTTATCCTTGTAATGGTTGAGTTGGTAGTATGTTTATGCCTTTTGTTGCTTGTGGGGAACCTTCCGAATCTCAACCTTACACGTTGAGGAAATTAAACACAGGCATAAAATCGATCGTGCTATAGAATTAGCATCCACCATCGAAGATATCTAGTCCAAACCTCGACCTCCATTTGTTGGGTTTTATCATTCGTGTTACTAGCAATTGACTATAGGAGATCTTGATTTTCTCGTTAGATGATAAAGTTGCCCCGTTACAAAATAGAACTCGAGAAAAAGTCTACATCAATAATTACTCTTCTGTCTCATTTGTATAGGCTGGTTTCCTTTTTTACACAGATTGAAATTTTTTATTTAATGTTGTTGAAAAATAATTTTTGTCAAAAAATTTTCTAGCTTATACTCCTATTTATGTCAACAATTAGTAGTAAATTGGTTATAATTAGGCAAATTAAATAAGGGTAGATTAGTAAACAAACAAAACAAAATATTCTTAATAAAAAAACAGAAATATGTAATTGAGATAAGAAAATAAGAAAAATCAACATATATAAATAGAGCAGATGGAGTATTTGATACATTAAATTGAACAAAAAAATGAATGAGGTGTGTGTGATGGATATTATTGAGGAAATAATGTATTTTAAATAGTGATATGATGTGAAATACGTGGTTAAAAAGTAATGAAAAGTTATTGACATGATGAAAAATATTATTTTATTGAAAAATGTGGGGTTAAAATGAATTTTTGAAAGAATATGTATGAAACATGAAACATGGACGTAATAATAATTCAATTTGGCACATAGCCTAGTTTTGGCACATGTTGGCCCACAAAGAAATATGGCGAGTTGGGCTTGAAACCACTCATGAAAAAGAGAAAATTACCTGAAACCCTTTTTTTCAAAATTACATTTCAAAAATAAGGTGGTAAAGTTTAGATTTCAAAATTCAGG